GCACAATTTTGGCCGAGACAAGAAAATGGAGATTATTAAAAAAAATTGAGAGACTTTCTTTCACTTCTTCTTATTTTATATGCTCGCGTGTGTGACTTATTGCGCTTGAGAACAGAAGCGAAGCCAATTTTCCGACGGCCTTTTTCATTCGTCGGAGACAATAATTCGAGAGAGCGATTCGCATAGGAATGTAATAACGGCAATCACCGCAGCCGTTGTATGTTTATGCGAGGGAAATATTTTTCAAGGGTGGGCGCGCAATAAAATTTTTATTTCTCTCAACAGCACTGGGGCATTCTCCGCCACAATCGACTTGATTTATTTTTTGCTTAATTATCCTTTTGAATGCTTCATTCCTATATTCTTCAGATATTTTGTTTGTACAAAAATTTTATTCTAGAAAAGAATTTAAGTGATTTAAAAAAAGTAATTAAAAATTACTACAAAAAAAAAAAATGATTTTATAGACTCGCAATAAAGTCTTTTTCATCTTTCAAATATGAATTTTGACAATTGATCTTTGTGTATTATATTATATTGTTTGAATGAATAACTAAAACAGTTTTGTTTACAAATTTGACTCTATTTCAATTAATATTTTACGCGTCATTTAAAATAATGAAGAGACAATAAATAAATATAATTATAATTCATAATAATTAATTAGTATTTTGAAAACTTCCGAATCACTTTTGACTCTAACGAGTTTCATTAATTAATTGGTTTGACCTTTGCCTCCCGAAACATATCCGTCCTGTTACCTCTGTAACCCGGTCTCTTCCAAAGTCATGCAGCAGCGACGACGAAGGGTTGGGGTTTTATGACGTTACAAGCCAAAAATTTATATATATTCGGCCCTCCCTCGCATTTCATTGCGCCATTAATTTCGTCTGGGGTGAATCGCGAATTCTGCGGGATAATTCGAGACTATTAATCAGCTGCACCTTTGAGTGTTATTGTGCGGCGGCGGAGGCGGTTCGGGCGCATTATACATTATGTGGGGCGGACGCGTGTGAGAGTGCGTAACGCTCTCTCACATAATAATAAAACGGCTCCTTGGATATTTATTACGTGCCAAAATAGAAGTTTTATCGCAAAATGGGCAAACTTTTCTCATTTGCCGCTTATTAAGTGCACACGCCGATGAAAATGCAGCGTTCGCCGGCATGAGACGATTGCCAGCATGTCAGACTTTTTCATTTTTTTTTGACGCCTAGATCGAGAGAGAAACGGGTTATAAATTTTCATGCTGGCAAAAATAGCACGCTTGAACACAATAAGCTTTGAGAAGGGTTGCCAAAAAAAATGCACATTTCATGGGAAAAAGTAAATAATTTTTAGCATATATAATTATGCTACAAAAATTATTTTTGTATTGACTTAGTTTATGGAGCCTAATTTACTTACTTTAGAAACGGCAAAACACTTTGAAACTTCTCACAAAAAATCAAATTTCTGATGAATTTGAAACTGTTTCCTGAAAACATTTTTTCTTAAATTCCAACGATAAAATACTTTTTGATATTCAAAAGTGTGTAAGAGATGAGCTCAGAGTTCTGACTGAGTAAGATGACCAGAAACACTTGTGAAGTGTTTTAATTAAAGGCGACGTGAAGACGGTTGTGGCACACGATGCATTTCCTTATGTCGCAAAGATTTTTATTACTTCTTTTTTTTTATTATTACTCACTGCCCGCGTAAGTAAAGTGATCTCCCTTAATGTGAATTTTCTGATGAAAAAAAGATTTAACAATATCAGGATTAAATCTCTATTTAAATTTAGTAAATTACTGGGCTAAATATAAATGTGGGATGTAAAAAATTTAATACAGACGGGTTAAAAGTGAAGAATTGTTTTTGAATTTGAGAAATTGTCTTGGAACACGCTCCATCCCAAGTATTGTTGTTTTTATTAAATTAATGTTATCAATTTTTCGGCTTGTTTTTTGATGCGAGAGATAATATTTATGGTTAGCAGAAAGGACTGCCGGTGGCTGGTGCGCGCCTGGCCGACTTATTAGAGTCGCTGCTGCATGGTTGAGCGCTAGTTTTATTATTAAAACTTTTCGCCGCCGTTTCGAAATACGGCCGAGGTGAAATAACTATAATTCCCGCTGCAGACACACAGGGAAAAGAACGAAAAGGAGAGAGAAGAGCTTTCGTGCGGCGGTTCGTATTATAAAGGACGAGGCTAAATTTATGCACGAGGCGACGACATCAAGGGCCACGCGCAAATTTATACACGCGCGCGCAGGGCACGAAATAATTTCGGCTCCAAACGCGACGGAATCACTTTATTAGCGGGCAGCCGCGCAAAAAATCGGCAAAAAGTTGGTCGGCGGCGGGAAGCGAGACGCGGAATAATTTCCCCCGTTTTTTTCCATCCCCACTCGGCTACGTGTTGTTGTCACCGGGACTAAATTAGGTCGTCGGAGAGCCAAGTTTTGAGGTTGCCGCGCACTTATACAAGAGCTGCACACAGATACAATCCATTAGCTAAATAAAACGAAGTGGTTTCGCGCAAAGAGTGCAACTTTTCCGCTTGCGGCTCACGGAAAAGGCAGCAGAAATTTTCAGACCAGGGGTGGAATATCTAATGAGCGTTCTCAAACTGCGGAACAACACCGGAGTCAACTTTCAGCTTTTCAAAACATGTACGTATGAAAATGGATTTGAAAGGATTATGCGTTGCTAATTAAAATCGACCTTTCCACCGGCGGGTAAAATGATCGCCGCGCCAAGCTGATTAGATTTTGCTGAGAAATTCGAGCGACGCGCACACTCCACCGTCGCAAGGCAAACTTGGTTTCAATTTCGCCGGTGAGCAAACACACAAACACACCTTGTTAAACTTTTTGCAAGGAAAATTATATCTGAACAAAAGAAAAATTTCCAGATTAATGTGTTTTCTTTTGTTGTGGAAATAATATTGAATATTAATAATATTGAATATAATTATGGATGATGCATTTGGGCAGAGAATTAATAAACACAATTTGCAACTAAATATTGAACCAAAATAGAAATTAAAATCTAAATATTAAATCGGAGGTTTAAGCTAATAAACCAAGGTTTTGAAACTGATTTTCATTTGAGAGATTACGTTTTTAACTGTTCTTAAGGATCAATTAAGGACAGAGAAAAATTCATGTACATATGCTAAAATGGATGAAGAGGTCCGAAAATAAATTCTGGCAGTGCTTTCCATTCCCTTACTCATTTTTATCAGATTTGGCGTGGAAGAGTGATTTTTTTTCCCGTCAAGCACCATATCAAAAAGCATTCCCAAGTGCGGAGCTGTGCAAACACTTGAACAAGCATCGTTCCTGTTGATTTTGCACGTTTATTATTTGATATGAAGGCTTTAATTACAAAGAGCAGCAAAACCGAATCCAGGAAATAGCCCTTCTCACCCAATCATACCAATGAAAATCCACGCAAAAGTTTCACGGTTTAAATTATTCAGAGCCCACGGTGTATATTTTGCCCCTCAATCATTTTATGTCTGACGCTTCTCACTGTTCTGCGAACGAACAACCCACGCTCGTGAAAAGTTTCGGCCTATTTTTGCTTGTTAAATACGTAGCACATGCACAGCCCCCCTGCAACAAGTTTTGCATAAGTGCGAGGTGGGATTCATCATGTGTTACATATCTGAACGCCTAAGGGAGAGACTTTAAAGCCATTGATGGTTTGACTAAGTTTAAAGACATGTACATATAATAAATATTTATTTCTCAATTTGAATTAAAATGCGACTAGCTTGCACCAGTTAATCCGTGGTACCAGAATCCTAAAACTATTCCTACTAGAATTTATTTCAATTTTTGAAATACAATGGGAAACCACTAGTAATCTACAAATTAAAAAAATTTATAATTTACCGGAATATAAATTGTTCTGTTTATGTGTAAATAAACTTTTCAAAATTTTTTGTTTTAAATTTAAATAAAAAAAATTATAAAGGTTTAATTTTTATTATTTTTAAGTATAGGCAAAAAAATAGTATGGAAGAAATTCATTGTAAGCATTTTCAAACTTATTTTTTTTCATTTGTTATATTTATATTTCAATAAATTTAAATTTTAATTAAATTTTGTTTCGTTGAAAGTTAGTGCGAGTGGAACAAGAGGAAAATCGAGGATGTATTGACTCAAAAGTTCCGAGCTTAGCCAAAATTTAACACTTGGCGCAGCAAGGCAAATAAATCCGAGCGCGCTTTAAGAAAACACGCTGCGGTCCGTGCTCAATTAGGCCGGCGAATTATTCGGATCCGGAGCGCAACTTTTAACCCCGAGACTTACAATAACAGAGAGCGAGAGAGAGAGCAGCATGCATGTACATCTGTGCAAAACTAATCGCCGCACACTGTTTAATCCGGCACAAAGGAATAAGGCACCGCAGCAGCGCAGAGAGACACGGACGGAGCAATTGCACACCCGGCCAACGCGTTATATTAAAAGTTTCGCAGAAGGGACCGTAAAATCCAGAAGCCTGACTCTCCACACCGCACAACACACAGCACCCAATTGACTGCTCTCATGCAAGAAAAGGGTCCAAAGGGTCACTGTCTTACTTCATTACCAAACTTTTTAAAAGCCCTTTCTCGTCCCTAGTCATAGGTCCACCCCTAATAAGCGACCCTTGTCAATATAAGTGGGTAGTTGCCCTATCGTAATCTATTTTCAAAATTATTAAAGAAAATCAATACTATCAAAGGGATTAATTTGGATTCTAATTTAAATAAATTTTTGTCAATTTAAATTGCTCCCTGACGCTAAAATTTAAACCCAAATTCATAATGTAAAAAATGATTTATGACTTCAAAACTAAACTAACAAACAATAATTATGATAGGAAATTTTATTTGTTGGTAATTGTAGTTTGAGAAATTACGTTCGGGATTTGTTGCAAAATTTGGGGCTTTGAGGGATGGAAGTTGCGGGGGTAAAAAGGTGCAGCGAGATAATAGATAATGAGTTGACAAATCGTGCGCTTACCCAAATTGTCGGAGGCTAACGACGTTGGCACGAGCAGGATGATTAGCGCTGCCAGTGGCACCATAATTCTCGCGTAATTCCGCGCGCTAGCACATCGCCCTTAATGGTCTAATGCATAACTGAAAGACACTCGAAGGAAGCGAGAGCGGGGAGCTGCGTTCGCCACCGCGCACAGACACACACATACAACGGACGGACGGACGGACGAGGCACCAGCCGAGCTGCGCGCCAGGCCCGAAAGGCGCATGCACACCCCGGCCCTTGGCTGCCGGCAGCCCCCACCGACTCTGTGAGTGTCGTGCCCACCTTCGCGAGTTTTGATTATTTGCATGCAACAATCAACCCAGCCGTGCGGTTTTCGCTGCCCGGAAATGAGCCTCTAATGAATACCCACGCCTCCCACACGCACCAAAATTATATCCCATCCTTACATGATCATTTTAATCGCATCTAGTAAGGCATCTATAGAAATTTAATATTCTTGCGATTTAACGTAACCTAAAGTAGAAAAAATACCATTAAATTATACAAATTGCTTTAAAGGCTGAGCTAAATTTTTCCTCTTTTTTTCAGACCACAATTTTATCAAGACATAGTCTTTTTCTTTAAACGCTGTAAACAAATTGCGAAAAAAAAACGAGGAAAATCGAAGTAAAAACTAAAACATTAAATCACCTCAATTTTAATGTCCTTTAATATTTATTGCATACATGGGCAGAGCGCACTTTGCGCTCTGCGATCTGCGCTCGCGCTCTGCGCTCATGAGCGCGAGCGCAGAGCGCGATCGCACGATTTTCAAAATCGTGAGCGCGAGCGCAGAGCGCGAGCGCATTGGTCGCTGAGCGCAGCGCTCAATTGCGCTCATTTTGCGCTCAAACCAAAAGTAAAAATTCCCGAATTTGTTCAAAAATTGTAATGAAAAACAGTGTTTTTATACCAAAAACTTCAAAACTGATCCCAATTTTGGTGATTTAACTTCAACTTAATCATTTCCAATTGCCGATGTATTTTTTGCTATATTAAAAAATTGTCTAAAAAGTCGCACTTTTTCTTCGGATAAAAATATTTTTGAGCGCAACGCGTGAGCGCAAGACTTTTAAAAAATTTGAGCGCGAGCGCAGAGCGCGAGCGCAACATTTTCAAAATCTTGATCGCGAGCGCAGAGCGCGAGCGCACTGTTGCCAGTGATCGCGAGCGCGAGCGCGAGCGCAAAATTGTTGAGCGCACCCATGTATGATTTATTGATTGCGTAGCAAAACAACATTTTGGGAAATTTTAATTGAAATTTTGTAATAATATTGTCCTAAGGGCACACACATGCGGTGTATAAAAATGGGGTGACCACTGCGGGGACCGGGCGAGCGCAGGAAATTATGAGCGCACGCTTATTGCTTTAACCCTCGCTGGCAAAAATGACGTTTTTTCCACCGCATGCCCAAAAGCGGATTTGGTTTGCGCACAGCTCCATTAGGCAAGAATTTCGCATAACGCACGCTTTGTGGACGAGTTGTAAAAATATTCAATTGAGCTTTTCATTAACGAAAAAATAATAATTGCAGGCAAATATTTGCACTGCTTTTGTTTGCTTTTTATTTTTGAACCGGGCCCGCAATTTATTTGGAACAACTGGCAACGCAATAATTTGATTGTGCATCGCAGCGGCTAAAAACGGGGTTGACCACGCAAAACAAAGTTTCTGCGTAATGACGAAAGCAATCAAGAGCAATTCAAACTGGCCAGCGGGCGTCCTAACTTTTGGTCCATAACTTTCGGCGACACTTTGAGAGAGCAACTGTTGCAAAGCAGACGCAGGTTCTTTGCTCCGGTTCATTCTCATCTTTTCCTTAATACTTCAGTCTAACTTAATCTGGTCAACTTACGCCTCTGTGAATCTAAAATGTTATATAAGGATGTGTGGATCAGATTTTTCACCCCAGACTAACTACATTTTAAACGAGAGAATGACTCCCATGGCGTGAATGGAACTGGCTTATTGCTCGTCTTGCCTGTCACGCGTGCTGCATAAATCGGAAAGCTACAGGGGCATCTCCTCGCTCGCTCGATTTCTTTGTCTGTCGCTGCAGGGTTAAAAAAGGAAGAAAAACGAGAAACAATGGGAAAGAACGCGATATCCAGTCAGATCAATGTTCCTCTTGTAATTTTAGTAATTTTACTAGTGAAGACATTTATTTTATTCTGCGCAAAAAAATGTTTTTATTGAAGATATAAACGCGAAAAATAAATGGGAACTATATAAGAATCTACCAGAGGGGAAAATATTATTATTATTATTTGTTGTTTCCCACGTTCGGTTAAAGTAGCTTTTGGAAAGTGAGCAATTTTTTTACAAAATAAATATGAAAGGTTTTAGAGAAGAAAAGAAATAATAATTTAAATAATTAAATCACGATGAAAATGTATTATTTTAATATATGTACCTTTTTCGTCCATTCCAACGCTTCTTCAAATTGGAAAAAATTAAGTTTGTATACACTATTTTTTTCAATTTTGACAAAAAATATTAGAGCTATCAGCAACGATGAAATTATACATTGGGATTAACTCCGAAAAAATATATTAATGCTTCTATTCTTTAGTAACTTTCTAGAAAAGTTGCAATGAGGAAGTTTGAGATTTGTAATCGCGCCAAAGTTTGTCTGACGGGGGCATTTATCTTTTTATGATTGGCTTAGTCAGCATTCGAAAGAGTGCAATCAAACTTTTCCTCTGTTTATCACCGAATCGGATCAATTTCAATTAAGTTGCGGCTAATGGCCGTAAGTACGAGATTAAAATCTCGGCAGGTAGGCGGACTGGCGGCAACTGGGCGAATGTCAATCCCCCAGCGAGAGAGGCGCACTCAATCGGTCCTCTAATGAAATTACCAAAAGATCGTTCGGCGGCCCCGGCGGGCAGGAAGGAAGGAAATAAAACGGCGGCACAGCGAGTGCACGGCATAAAAGAAAAATAACAATTTATCCACTCTCACTCGATCTATAAATTCTGATTTGGACTTTGAAAGGGCCTTTCTTTCTCTTCACACAGTGCAGCAGTGCGTGGGCGTGCCCGCGGCCAGCACTGCAGCATCTCTTCTCTTTTCTCGGTGGCGGCGAGAGAGAGAATAAGGAGGGCGCCGCCGGCAAATGGGTCTGACACGTGAACGAGCAAATAAATTAATTTTTCCCTAAGCAAATAAACAAGGCCCGCTTACATATCCGGAGCCGCTCGCGGGGTCGAAGGTGTTTAATGGCGCGTTCATTCGGCGTTTTATGGCGAGGGTACGCAGAGAGGCTTTCGGCGCGGAGAAGTAAAAGCCGCAGTCCCACCGGGAAAAATTATTCCAGATTTAAAAATAGGGCTTTGTCAGCGTCTTTTCTAGCGCGTCGTGCACGCTAGATTGAAATTTACTCTCGCGTGTGCTGAAGAAATGTGTGTGTGGAATTTGGGCCGGGAAAACGCACTTAAAGCGACGTAAAGTCATTTTGAGTGACTGCCCTCGCTCCGGCCGGGCTGCGTCGTTCGAAAAGAGAGAGAAATAAAACGCGCCACCCTCTCTCTCCCTTTTTGCTGCTTTTCGGAAATAAAACAAACAACAAAGGAGAAATTGACGACAAAAAGTGGCGCGCGCCATTTAATCAGACAGCTTTACTTCTTTTGCCACTCGCTGGTAATGAGCAACTTATTAAAATTTATTTTCCGCTCAGCTTTTTCCACTCGACTCTCTTGCTCGGAAATGGCGAAGTTGAGTTCGGAGCAGCTCCCTGTAGCGCGTGTTTGCATTTCATTTTTGCGCCATTAAAGAGCATAATAAATAAAGCCTCTCTCGGTGAGTGTATCTGCAAGAAAATATGTAAATTCCACATAAATGTGTTGTGCAGAATCGGAACCGCGGCAACAATCGCAAGGGCTGCGCCGGAGAAATTGGATTTCAATACGAGCCGCCGCTTTCCTCTTCTCTTGCAATAATAATACGCGAGTAATACATATTTTCTTGCTTATCTTTAAGCCCGCACTCTGTTCTGCTGCCGGGAATGTTTTGCTCGCGAAATCATTCGGCCAAGAACATACTCCGCACGGAAATTGGATTTTTGAGTCTCTAAAGGAATACATGCAAATTCTTGACAGAGCTTCAAGCGTAATTATAGTCGAATTTCCATTCATCCTGTAAAAAAATATTCCAATAAATTATATCCTTTGATAAAAAAAAAATCATTTTGGAATGTGCTGAAAATGAAACTCCGAAACTCGCTTAATAGCATTTTCAATTTTGTTAAAAAAAAGTTGGAGTGTTTAAACCTTATTCATCATTGAATTTTTTTTTTATTAAATTCCCGTATTTCAACGGCAACTCTACCAAAACAACGATAATTTATATATATAAAAAAAAAACATTTAAAATGATTTTTGCCAAAGGTAAAGAATTAAAAAGGACTTTGAACGGGGAGGAAATGTCACGGCAGTTTTCATTTGACATTTAAGTTTTAATTTGTTATTAAAATTTGTGAAGAAATAAGTTACATTCATTCACCTTTTTTCGTCTGGGAATTCGACAACAATTTCGTATGTTATTTTCAATTCAATTAATTAAAATAATTAAAACTTAGAACTTATGTGTCAAGTTTTGAGGGATCTTCTCTAAATATGCCATTGATGCCTTTAAAAAAATTGGAAAATCATTTGAAATTTCAGGATTAATCGCTAAAGCTACGTTTTTTCCCACTACCAAACGTACCAACCCCATATTTACAATCAGGGATAGAATTGGGAATAATATAAATGATAGTTGAATACATTGGGAAACGCACAGGGGATGAAACCAGCTTAAATTAACACTTCGGAAAATGCTGGGCAAACAAATTATTATTCTCTTATCCGTTGGGTTTTGCTGTTCTTTGAACTAATGCCTTCCGTAGCCACGCATAAACTTTTTGACCAAAGAGCAGCGGAGAAAATCATCCAACCAACCCCTATGATGCCCTTTGCCAAGTTTACGTGGTACAAACAGCAAACATGCACATCGCTGCTGACGAGAGGCAAACTCGGCGCTGCACGGTTTAATTATTACCGAAGTTTTTCCTTTGACTTTTCAACTATTTATTTCAAACGCTCAACGCCGACGAGTCGGAAAACGGGTGCGCACCTAAACCCCGCTGTGGGTGGTGCGTTTCACGAAC